TTTTCTAGAGATAGAATGTCAGAAGCATAAGTTTGTTTTTCATGATCTACATACGTTGTTTATCTCAAACTCGATTTTCATATCATTTGAAATTTTGAAGCAATCAAAAATAATTAATATAAAGATTTAAAACATATGCACAATCACAAGTTTTGCAATACTATAATACAAAATTAAAGTTTCATTAATGACACTAAGCAGCCAATCTTGATAGAGTGTTCAAATTAACTTGGGAAGAATCCACTGAATATCATTGTCTCTACCAAAACACAATTTGTACCAACATCCAATATAATATTTAAATCATAATAGTATGTCTCTAAGTTTAAAAAGATTGCTTGTAAGTAAATAGTAAGACTTAAAATAACTTTTTTATTAATGAAATTTAAAAATAAATTACTATTTTCGTAATAAGGCAGACCTATGTCAAAATAAGTACCAAATAAGTTCTCCCAAACATACTTAAAATGATTAAGAGACAAAAAAAATAGATTCATAATTCAACTTTTCAAAAACTTGAGAACGAACGAACCATCAACATGATTTAATTATCATAAATTGCAGTTGCACAAATCAAAAAATACACGAGACAAATTGCAATTGCACTTGCACCAGCACAATTGCACAAATCAACAAATAAAATACGTCAAGTTTGTCAAAACAATTTGCAGAGTTACAGTCTTACAGACAAGTGAGACAATCAGACATGAGACAACTAAAACAATTCAATATTCAACTCTTCAACTTCAAGTATTGGACTTATTAAACTCACCAATCACCAATGCACACTGCTGGCTGCTCGGCCTTGCTAGTCGCCTCAGAGTCTGTTGTCGGTCGGAGATTCACCCCTAAGACTTCGCACACCGACGGCACACGGTCACCACCTCCAGCTGCAACTGGTGCTATAGCTTTGAATGGAAATTGAAGGGTAACTGGGTGAGGGACCAACAGACCAAGGGTTTGATGTCGCCTTCTGTGCCGTTCTGCAAATGGATTTTGGGGGATTTGGGTTTGGGAGAAATACCAATTAAAGCCATATCCATGGACCGTTTGAATGGATCCACTTTCCACATTTGGGCCTAATTTTTTTTTTAAAAAATAGGCCCAGTTTCCAGTTACATTAGCCCAAAGGAAAATGGAAAATTTGGTCGTCTTCTCCACTTCCTCCGGTCTACAATCGCTGCATGCAGGAGCTTGCTGCCAACCCTGCGGCCACTGAAGACTCCAACGGAGCCAGCATGCTCGGTCGCGCCCCCTCGCCGGGTGCTAACTCCGCGCCTGGCTACAATGAGAAGAAGATTTATTGAAATTCCAAACAGTTTTTCTCTTTTCTTATTCTTTATGCTATTAGTCATGATTGAGATTTTATTATTCTTCCATCATCACCTAAATCTCTAATCTAAGATTTGATGTAATCGATACTTGAGACAATATTTTGACTTGGGGTATTTTCAAAAATGTCTAATTTCATGGGTGTCAATTGAAAAATGCACACTTTTTAAATTTAGCACTAACTTGTATATTATACCCTTAATGAAGAAAGAAGTAATTTATTCATTTTTTCAATTTGTTGCGGATTTCGAGAAGTAGCTTCCATGAAATGCTACACTAAAATGATATTATCGACATTTTAAATGTAATTCTTGATATTTGAATCTCGTTTATATTTTAAAAGTACACATGTCAAATCACAATATTAAATATTCTCAACATTTCAAATGTTGTTATCGACATTTTAAATATCTAGAATAGCATTTCATTCCGAACATGACATTTCTCTACACTTGAAATGTAATTTTCGGCATTTCTACGTCAATGAGAAAAATAGTATTAATTGTGATTTGACATGTGCACTTTTGAAATAAATATGGCATGTTATATGTCAAAAATTTATTGGCCAATAAAATTTTTGCAAAAATGTCCATTTATTGTTTTTCTATGAAATCATAAATTGTTCACAGGGGTATTTTGGTCCAAAATTGAAATTTTTTGCAAGGATTTGTAAAAGTTGACATTTTTGCAAGTGGACATTTAAAGTAATTTCCTCTTTTGACTTTTAGTAGTTACTTCTTTGAGAGTTTCATTGAGTTTATTTGTGTTATTTATATTTAATGTTTTCAATTGACTAACCCTTAATTGAATGATTTAATATTTAAGATTCGGCAATCAATAGAAAATATAAATTCATCGAAGCGTTCCCATGAAAGAACCATAGAACTTAATAAATTTTGATTTTTTATTCGAAATAGAGATATTGAAATTGAATTCTAAGAATAATTTTCACTTGACACTCGAGAGGAGTAACTTGAAAAAATCGACTGGAGATAATTAGAGAATTGAGAAACATAGTTGATAGTTAGATGAAATCAAAACCCCAAGCTCATTTCATATTGCTTAATCCTTGAAACATGATTTCAATCGTTGATTTAGTCAAACTTCCAGCATAGATTTAGTTAAAAGCCTTGATCTTATAAATTCGATTGTCTAGATAAAATAAGGGTTATTTTCATTATAATACTTGGTAAGAATTGATTTTCAATCCATGTGGGTTCAGCATCGTAGCTTCACAGCTATATTATGTGTAACGACCCGGTTCTCTGTACCCAAAATGTTAGCTTACGTACTATTCGCTTTGGATGGACCTTGCGCCCACTTACCCCTCACGATTTTTTGTCGCGTCCATCAAGATTCGAACTCATAACTTTTTTCTTAAGTAAGACTTAAGTTGAATCCTCGTACTAATTGGTCAACATCTTCATATGCGAGAATCGACAAATTCGACTTCGCATTGTTCACAAAATTTTGGGTCTTCTTTTTCATCTCCGATTACTCGATAATTTCCACCAGCACAAATTCCATTTTTTATAGGCCCAAAAATTCTTTCACAAAATAATCCATCTTGCCCAATTGGTACCAGGATTCAACTTAAATTTTACCTAAGGGAAAGGTTATGAGTTCGAATCCTAGGGGGCGCGACAGAAAGTCGTAAAGGGTAAGTGAGCGCAAGGCCCACCCAAAGCGAACAGTATGTAAGCTAACGATTTGAGTACAGAGACACGGGTCGTTACAAAAAAAGTGCCCAATTGGTATCAGGATTCAACTAAAGTCTTACTTAAGGGAAAGATTATGAGTTTTTGAATCCTGGGAGACACAACAGAAAGCCGTGAGGGATAAATGGGCTTGCAGCCCACCCAAAGCGGACAGTACATAAGCTAACAGCTTGGGTACAGAGACCCGAGTTGTTACAAAAAAGCCCATTTGGTACCAGGATTCAACTTAGGTCTTACTTAAGAAAAATGTTATGTGTTCGAATCTTAGGAGACGGACAAAAAGTCGTGAGGGATAAATGGGAGCAAGTGCTGTTTGGGTACAGAAACCCGGGTCGATACAAAAAACGAGCGTCGTTACATTATGGAACTTGACAACTAGGCGCATGCGGTATATATTTTACACGTAACAAGTTTTTGGTACCCTTTCTGATGCTTGATTGATTGATTTTGTTTTATACTAATATTATTACTAATTAGTCTTAATTTTAATTTATGCTTCTTTACTTTGAATAGTTTGCTTGTTTTGTTTTAGTTGTTTATGCGAAGATCAAGGAGTTCTGAACCCCTTGATCCTAAGATCAAAAGAACTTTCTGGTTTTTAAGGGTATAATAAGAGATGAACCAGAAGCAATGGTAGCAAACAAAAACAATCAATATCGGGCTATTCACAATTATGTCAGACCAGTTGTCAATGACAACTACTAATACTACGATCCAAACTATTGCTTGAATTGAAGCCCATGTTGATTAGTATGGTTATGTGGAAATCAGTTTGAAGGATCTCCAATAGAATATCCAAATTTTTATCTTGCTACATTTTTGGAGATCTATGATACTATAAAGATGAATGGTGTTATTGAAGACACCATTGACTACGTTTGTTTCTTTTCTCCTTGAGGGATAAAGCAAAATGATGGCTTCAATCATTGCAGTATGGCTCTATCACCACTTGGGAGGGATTGGCTATTGTTAGGCAATTTTGTTGTCAAACGACCTTCCCGGGCGATGATGTAACCTCGGTTGTTTATTATCAATCGGCCTCGGCCTAATGATTGATTAGCACATCGACACAATTAACGAGACAACACAATCCACTTTGTTATGGACCGTTCGAAGTAACCTATTTTATAGTGTTGCTCACGGTTCCCGCACCATTCCTTGGAAGGCTATGTTATTATTGTTGAGGCCCAATTATTTGAGTCGAGTCTTGATCCACCACTTAGCCCTAATTGTAACTTACCTTTTTTGGACAATACTCTTGGCATATATTCTCCTCAACCTCTCGGCCTCCATTAGAGTGAAAAACCCCCCTCTTTGTGAGCTTCTCTCTCTCGGCCTCTTCTTCCCCCTCTCTGTGTGACCTTTGTGGTTGATATATTGTGGGTATTTTCTTGGCCTTCTTCTTCCCAACCCATAGCAACCGGACCGGTGGCGGCATAGGGTGGTATTGGAGTTGTCTCAAGAAATGGTGTCGATGTTTTTGGTAAACTGAGCCCGGTTTTGCACTGCTTGGCTGTGGAATTCGGTCCTACAGCTATGAAATTCTTTCCCACTTTCAAATCGATTCAATTTTAGGGTGAGATTGGGCAATTTAGACAAACTGAATTTGAACCATTTTATGAGGACTGGAAGAGATTCAAAGATTTACTTTAAAGATGTCCTCAACATGGTTATTAGAATTGGATGCAGCTTAACATATTTTACGAAAGGTTGAATGGTCAGACACAAACGATGGTTGATGCCACTTCAAGTGGTACTTTGCTGTCCAAGACTGCAGATGATGTTATTCCTTACTGGATAATATATCCACCAACTTATCAATGACTAAGTGAGAGTTCAAGGGCAAAGAAAGTTGTTGGTGTCGATGACGTGGATCCCATTACTGCTCTAACAACTCAGATGTCATCACTTACCAGCCAAATAGTTACATTAAATAATCAGGGAACTCAACTAAACCAGGATATTAACATGGAGAATGAGCATGTCTAATATGTAAACAGCCAAGACTTGTGTTATTTGCATTGAAACTCCACGAGAAAGTGCGACATATAGTTGACCATGAGAAAATACATTTTCAGGAAGATATATTCCAACAGTAGGCATTGTTTGTTCTTGAGCCTTGTTAATGGTCATCATAAGGCATATATATCTTGAAAATTGTTTCCTCTTGAATTTGAATGGATATCCTTCATCATTTGCTAGAATTAATGGGATGCAAAGAAGGAAAACATGGTTTCCAACATGTTGTCCAACGATTATTTCTGCATGGATAATAAATCCCTTGAAATCACGAAAAATAATTCTTGTTCCATTGCAAACATTGGACAGTTTTCTTTTCAAGATAAACTTCCGTGGTGGGATACCATTTGGCAACAATATAATTAGAAACTCCTCGACGTAAAATTGATTTGTATCATATATTGCTTCGTCTAAGATGACAAACTCTTTATTTTCTCCAAGAAATAACCCAATTACTTTTGCCATTGTGGTAGTCAACATACTCATTTTTTTGGAAGAATTCCACATTGTGTAATATAATGAGAAGAAGCTGGATTTTCTGTTAAACCTATGAACATTGCATTGATTAAATATAACTCCAAAATTTCAGCATTGTCACATGTTATGACTATCCCTCTGGTAAGTTGATGAAGTCATCCTCTATGTAATATTTTGTTCCATTACCAATTTGGATAAAGTATTGTCTAAATCGGTTGTCATTTTGAGCGGGCATTTTTTGATTTAGTTGCAGTTTTATCATTTCCCTCAAAGGTACAATCTAGCCAAACTTTATCTAATTGTTTGTGTTTGTCTTGTTGTTCTGGGTAGGACATGTAATACTTGACCAAAATCTCCTTAGAATACAAAAATCTTACCATCAAATGGTTTTGAATTATCCAAGATATCTCTTAAAGTTCTATCAATAGTTTCTATTCTGTTCTAGTTGACCATTGGTGCTTCGTCCCATATTATGAGCTCTCCTTCTATTTTGATGTAGTATTTTTCTTTGTTATATTACATATTGTTGATTCATTACTTATATCTAACATAACAAAAAATTACAGTAGATAACTAGATAACAGTTTAAGAATCTCTATACAAAGTAGAGTGACTTTTTAATTAAAAATGAAAAATCAAATATTTCTAATTTAGTACCTTAATTCAAATCAAACATAAAAAAATGGGGAGGGGATGAGATGTAAATATTAGTTTAAAAGGCTGTTATAAGCATACTATAAGTTTAACCAAAGATTTTTTGTTTAAAAGACCAAAATATATGACATTTTAATTAAAATGTGACATGGCATGTAATTTTCTAATGTAGCACAAATATAAGAACAATATATTTTCTAATTTCATACTATGCAATATTTTGGTTCTTAATTATCTAAAAATTACGTGATCCTACTTCAAATCATTTGTGCAATGTAATTGATTACCAATAAAGAAATGAGTAAATCTGCACATCTGAATGCAACAGTGCATTAACAAATCAAATTGATCACAAATTGTGTAGAAGTTCACAAATCAAAGCTAAAAATTAAAAAATAATATCCAAACATATTATATTGTGGATTTCTTTATTTAACAAGCATGTTCGCAAACCAAAATGTCAAATCCACAACCATCTACTGAATAATTTGTAATTCAAAATGTATAATATTAAAATAATCTTACAATTTGCAAAAATAGAGATAAAATGTTTGTTGTACATCATTATTTACATAATCTTTTATAAATTGATGAGGTGCTAAAAAGAAAGTGGGGGAATTTTTATTTTTATTTTTATTTTTTAATTTGACTGATGAGATTTTGACACAATTAGATCTCTTCACATCATTTGTTGGTAAAGAAATCTGTAAGTTGTAATGTACACGTAGAAAAATAGAAAATAAAAACAAAAAAATTGTGCAGGAAATTAACAACAAATATATGAAAACATACACTTGGAAAATCAACAATTTGGGAAATTAAAACTATAAGCATGCAATAAATTTATCCTATTACTTGGGAAATTTGGATTTTGAGTTCATATTTTTCAGCAAAATTGAAGAAGAAACTGAGATAAATTCCAATAGAATAATCTAGAAGATGTTATGTATTCAGAACCTGAACTTTTTGATAAGAAATAATTTTGTGTTCTGTTATTCAATTTGTCGAGGGGTCATGTCTGAACTAGGGCGGACACAAGGGGATTTTGGGGGGTCATGTGACCACCCAACTATTTTTTTCCCCTCTAAAACCTTGATTGATATGAAGTAAAATTAGAATTTTAATATGAATCAAAATTAATGATTAATTTTAATAACATATTTCATTAGATTCATAACTTTTCAATTTTTATCAAAATTTACTAGAAATTTAATTTTAATCTCCATAAAAATGGGCAAAATCACAATAGATTTGAACTTTTCCATTTTTCTTACACTCTCGTGACTCTCTCACTCACGTATTTTATCAAAACCTTAACTCTTTTAATTTTTTAAAATTTGTCTATAGTTTTTCTATAAATTATAATATTTACTTTATTTCCTAATCATATTTTGAACCTAAATTTGAATTTTCTCCTATCAAATTGCGCATATAGAATGATCCGTAAATGATTATACACAATTTGACTTATATTTAACAAATTATGTTTATTTGATTGAATATTAGTAGTGAATATTGGTTATATGTTTTTTCTTTTTATTACTTCAATTGATTGTTTGTATCAAATGCACTATAAATTCCTTAAATATAAATATGCATTTTTTTGTGATGAGCAAAATATTAATAAAAGGGATATTCAAAATTAAATGGATAAAAATGACAAACAAAATATTAATGAAGGAATGTGTTTTTAAGCTTAATTCTGCATTTTCTTGAGTCAAGTATGAATTATTCAAAAATCAAGAACAAATTATTCGATCTATAAAAGGTCTTCTCATGCCCCCTAACTTAAAAAGTCTGCATCCGCCCCTAGTCTGAACTATAGATTTGTTTAGGTAATTAATTTTTATTCCATATATAATTTTTTATGTGCATAATGCACAATTTCTCTGATAACCAATCATATAAAAAAAAAATCCTCAACAAGACTTTTCAAACTAGTACATTTTCCACATTAAACAAAAACATTGTTATAAAACTGTGAAAGAACAAGAATAAAATAATAGGATTTGGAGAATCTAAACTGAAATGTGTAATTTTATTGTAACTATGGACCAATTTATATGGTCAAAATGAGACTTATAATCTGAATAGAATACACTCATTTAGATTATCTGAAGTATTCAAATGAAACCAGATAATCATCAATAATTATACTATATTTTTATAACACTATCCCTTTGATGATTATTTATATAATAATTGGCTCGTTAAAATATTGTTCAATAAAAATTCAGTGAAAAAGTAAATCAAACAAAGGAAAAAATAATACAGTTCATTATTGAAATTTTTTACTATAAGGAAAAATACTGCTTCATTAAAACATTAATAGGAAATCCAGTATGACAAAATCTAAACGAAGGAAAAATAGTACAACTATTCCCCCTAATGTTAATCACTGAACATCTTTGAGTCGATACATTCCAATCTCATATATCAATTTCTTAAATATAGATGTCTACGTTACTTCTGTTAATAAGTTAATTATATTGTCATTTGAATTAATTTGTTATACACTGATTTTTCCATTCTTCTGAAACTCATGTGTATAGAAGAATTTTGGAGAAATATATTTTGTCCAGACTCTTTTGAAAATACCTTATTTGAGTTGTGGAATTATAAAGTTCGAAAATTTTCATAGAATAGGATTAATTATTTTATATTGTATTTTGGAAAGTTGGGGGACTAAAGTGATATATGTATTAATTCAATTCTATTTGGGCCAAATATTTAGATTTCGATAGAGCGACGATAAGTATATCAATATTGGGCTCGTTAGATAGCTTGTATTTAATCATATATATTAGGGTTGACAAAAAGTAAAATCAGATAAGTTAGACCCAAGGTATTAGGGTTTATAGAAGCTGTTATTATTTGGTTTTGATTTAAATAAAATATTGTATTTAATTAGGGATGTGGCCATGTCTGGATTAAATTGAAAACTTGCTCTTGATTTATTAGTTTTGCATTTTGAGATTTGATAGGATTTGGTTGTCATCTATAGGTTAGATAGGGATAAAGTACCTGGATTGAAACTTTTTGAGAGTACACAGCACTTTGTAGACTTTTAGATATATCAAAATCCAATTTTTCCTTTCAACTTTGAATACAGATATGATACACAGCAGCAACAACACCACAAATCAAAAATAAAGAGTTGGAACGTGATATTGGTTTTACCTTTCAAATTTATTTGATCTAATGAGGTAGGATAATAGGGAGCCGTTGATTTTTATCCCGTTTAAAATGTTGTTAAATTATTATGCTACTGAAAGTTAAGGATATGATATGAGATGTACGTTATGGCCATCCGGTACCAAAGATATAATATTTGTCGAGCTCTTATCGATTCCTAAATGTATGATGACGGTATGATATTTTTTATACATGTTTTTAAACTTTTATTTGGGATTGCACCATTATTTGTGTCCTAATGATTATTTTCATATACTAACCCTTTTCCGTACACCTCATAGATTAGAATGGGTTGTTGGTTAATGGGCGATGAGGAACATTTGTGGTGCCAGGATTTATGAGAGTCAATATAAATAATTCAGTGTAATGTGACTATGGATTTTATTTTCAACATTACTTTATTTTAATTATCAGGTGGATTTTGTTATTTAAGATTTGTGACATATTTTATTTGATTATATTTCCTGTATGTTTTATTTGTTGTTAGTAAAACCAAAAATTTCATGTTGTGATGTTTGATATGTTTATTAAAATTACGTAATGAAACTTTTAGCAACGATTTAAACTTTAAAAATATGGGTTGTTACAGCAATACAAGTAGTATCATTTTCAACAATGATGCTTGGATATGATATAGCACGTAATGTAGCATGGTCCAAACAAAAGTTGAGAGTTTTGTTATATATGTAATGGGTTAGCGATGAATTGTAGATGTTAAATAAACGACCTTGTTAAATCATTTTGTGCATGGACATGAGAAACTGAATGTTCAATGCCTATTCCAATTAATATACAATGCTCAACAAATGCTTGTAATCTAAATTCATTAACATTATTTAAATCCATAGTCTTGATAGAGTATTCGGGAAATTGAGCTTGTAATTCTATTATTTGAGCAAATAGTATAGCAAAAACTACATTCCTAATGAAAAGTAAGTAGACGTGACAATCTAGTAGGAGAATCAATTAAGGCTATGAAATAATGATATGGTCCAAAATTGTTTACCAGAAAGTTGATGATTCAATATTAACCTTTGCAGTGGAAGTTATGATAACTAAATTGTCTTGTAAACAAGAAGCACGTAGAAAGTCATTAGGTATAAAAAAAATTCATGATTCTTTAGGGGATGTCCAAATGA